CATATTCCAGCTTACTCTACATATTGCACCACAACTTTCTATGAATACAAAACCATGTAGAAACTAAAACTCTCCTTTGTAAATCAAATTGAGGCATATTCCACAGTCTATCACTACAACTTCCAGTTATCAAATTACACTAATTTGTGTAAGCATATGCATTCATGAATTTTGAATTAACTCACAGAACTAAATGAAAGCACAAAGAACAAAAGTGTTGTATATCTCCTACACACAAAATATTTTCCCACATATAAAATAATCCCAGAGCCACATGGTGACAGAAATATCTGATAGCAATTTGTAGCAATAGGGATGAGGCCAACTTACTAAGCAGCATAAATCATATCAGTCCAGAACCCAAGTAACTCAACCTTTGAAAGAGGCTTACATGATGAAAAGAGAAAAGACTCCAAAAACTTATATTTTTCCTTAGAAATCAAGAAAGTCTCGCCTTTTCACAAGATGGCACCAAAAGCAAAGAAGGAAGCTCCTGTCCCTCCTAAAGCCAAAGCCAAAGCGAAGGCTTTAAAGGCCAAGAAGGCAGTGTTGAAAGGTGTCCACAGCCACAAAAAAAAGAAGACCCGCACGTCACCCACCTTCCGGTGGCTCAAGACACTGCGACTCCAGAGACAGCCCAAATATCCTCCGAAGAGCGCCCCGAGGAGAAACAAGCTTGACCACTATGCTATCATCAAGTTTCCGCTGACCACTGAGTCTACTATAAAGAAGATAGAAGACAACAACACACTTGTGTTCACTGTGGATGTTAAAGCCAACAAGCAACCTTCTTCACAGGCTGTGAAGAAGCTCTATGACATTGATGTGGTCAAGGTCAACACCCTGATTCGGCCTGATGGAGAGAAAAAGGCATATATTTGACTGGCTCCTGATTATGATGCTTTGGATGTTGCCAACAAAATTGGGATCATCTAAACTGAGTCCAGCTGCCTAATTCTATATATATATATATATATATATATATTTTCAACAACAACAACAACAAAAGAAATCAAGAAAGTCTCAATAGGGATGTCATGATAGGCAATTTAAAAATTATTAAAGTTACTTCTAGAATCTACTTAAATATGAGTGAAATTAACTTTCAAATATTTCTCATAATCACAGGAGTGCACCAAAGGAATCACGTATAGTCACCGCTGGTGCATCTCAGAACAGCAACAAGAAAATATTTGAAATGTAACAGTTCATTGAGAAAATATCCTGTTAAAGTTATATCTAAAAGTTAAACTCATAAGTTGCCAGTATTCTTAAATTAATGTTGCCTATTATAATGCAAAATACCCTTTCAAGGAAGGAAAAGTAAACTTCAAGTAAAGCATGGTACAGTGTAAAAATAGGAAATTAAAAAATCCTCAGTCCAGATCCAATAATAACTTCATGAGAAAGAATATTGTAAACGTGAATTTACACAATTGCCTTCTATTTCACAGGTCTCTTGTATCTTTGCAGTAACACCTAAAGGAAAAGGAAATTTATTCTTTATTTTATTTTACTTTATTTTATTTTACTTCTTGGAGACAGAGGCTTGCTCTGTCACCCAGGCTGGAGTACAGTGGCATGATCTCAGCTCATTGCAACCTCTGCCTCCCAGGTTCCAGCAATTCTCATGTCTCAGCCTCCAGGGTAGCTGGGACTACAGGCGTGCCCCACCACGCCCGGCTAACTTTTTGTATTTTAGTAGAGACTGGGTTTCACCATGTTGCCTGGACTGGTCTCAAACTCCTGAGCTCAGGCAATCCACCCTCCTCACACTCTCAAAGTGCTAGGATTACAGGTGTGAGCCACCGCACCCAGCACAGAAAAGGACATTTAAGGAAATGAGGTGGTTTAGAGTTGTAAAATTAGAAAATTCTGGCTGAAACTACAACTGAATGAAGACCAAAAAGGATAATAAACAACATTTTTGTGTGGTAAAGAGTGTTGGTCATTACTGAAGCGTCATCCACCAGTTCTCTTTACAGCAATAAAATATTAAAAGAGGCACCTTTATTTGATATATTACATATGTAATAGGAGACATTTACACAACTCTTTGTCTATATTTCAGTGTGGTATGATCTATTATAAGATTGACTCACCTGAAGATTAAGGTCTCCTTTTGTTTCAAGTAAATCCTGAGTTATCAGAAGAGGCTCGCTTTTCTCACAGCTCTCCTGGCTGATGAGCGTGTCTGCATAGTTGGGCTGGGGGAAGATCAGATGACTCTTCCTCGAGTCCGCGGTGAGGGAGACCTCGTGGGAGTAGGTCTGCAGGAAAGCCCGAACCCCGTCCACGCCCACAAAGTGCGAGGCAGGCACACCTGCCAACCTGCTGCCTTCAGCGTGAAGCAGGCGTGACTTGTGCCAGCGTCTCAGCTTGAGTGCTAGCAGCACCGTGACAAAAGCCAGGAAGACGCAGGAGACAGCGGCCACTGCCACCACGAGATAGAGTGTGAGGCCCGAGTCGTCTGGGTCTGCTGAAGGCTTGAGGCTGCCCAAGTCAGCCAGGACATCTGGGATGCTGTTGGCCACAGCCACAGTGAGTGTGACGGTGGCCGAGAGAGGGGGCTGGCCGTGGTCCTGGACGACCACTACAAGGCTCTGCTTGAGCGCATCTCTGTCCAGCAGGGCCCGTGCGGTGCGCACCTCGCCTGTGTGCAGCCCCACTGCAAATAGTCCCGGCTCGCTGGCCTTGAGTAGGCGGTAGGACAGCCAGGCATTCTGGCCTGAGTCTCTGTCCACTGCCACCACTTTGGTCACCAGGTAGCCGGAATCTGCGGAGCGGGGTGCCAGCTCCACACCAGTGGAGCCATCTGTAGGGAAGGTGGGGTACAGGATCTCAGGGACATTGTCGTTCTGGTCCAGCACAAAGAGGCTCACTGACACATTGCTGCTGAGTGGAGGGTCTCCACTGTCACTGGCTGTCACCAGTAACTGCAGGTCTCTAAGCTGCTCATAGTCGAAGGAACGAAGTGCATATAGGATCCCAGTATTGGAGTTGATGGAGACATAGGAGGACAGGAGTGCATCCTGGAAGGTGTCTTCGGCCAGGGAGTAAGTGATTAGGGCATTGTCACCACTGTCAGGGTCTTGAGCAGTCATAGATAAGATGGAGGCTCCTCTGGGGTTGTTTTCAGGAATGTAGGCAGAGTAGGAAGCATGAGGGAAAGTGGGTGGGTTGTCATTGATGTCCATCACCTGCAGTGAAATATGAGTTTCTGTAGACAGTGGAGGAATTCCCTGGTCAGTTGCAGTTACAGTGATGTTATATTCTGAGACTTCTTCCCTGTCCAGTGTTCTGTGTGTCAACAACCGATAATAATTTTCATAGGTCTTTTCAAGTGTGAATGGCAGATTATCTGGAATAGAACATGTGACTAGGCCATTTCCTCCTGAGTCACTGTCATGCACGTTGAAAAGTGCAATTACTGTACCCGGGGAAGAAGTTTCCTGGACTGAGCTGGTGAGAGATGTAACTGTGACTTCTGGTGCGTTGTCATTTTCATCCAGAACTGTCACCAGTACCTTGCTTCTAGCCCGGAGACCAGGCCCATCATGGGCTTCTACATCTATGTCATAGAATCCAGAGTCCTCATAATCTAGATCCCCCAATATTGTTATATCCCCACTCAGAGAATTTAACTGAAATAGCTGTGATATTTTGTCTCTTACTTTCCGGAAAGAATACGTCACGTCTCCATTGGCTCCTTCATCTGGATCAGTGGCTTTTACGGTGAGTAGCCGAGTGCCTACAGGAACGTTCTCACGAACACTTACGTGGTACTTGGGCTGAGTGAACAGGGGAGCATTATCGTTGGTATCCACAAGTATTATGAGAATCCTGGCAGTGCCAGAGCGAACCGGGTCACCTCCGTCGAAGGCGGTGAGAACGAGGTGGTGAACCGCCTCTTCCTCGCGATCTAGAGCACGTTCCAGCACCAGCTCTGGGTACTTAATCCCATCGGCCCCGCTTTGCATGTCCAGGGAAAAGTAACCGTTTGAGTTGAGCTGGTAACCCTGCAGGCAGTTTACCCCTACATCCGGATCAAAAGCTTCAGGAAGAGGAAATCTTGTCCCAGGATTTTCATTTTCAGCAACTTTTATTTCCCTCTGTTCTGTCCCAAAACTGGGTGGGTTATCATTAACATCGATTATTTCCACCTCTACCCGCAAAATCTTCACTGTATCTTCTAGGAGAATCTCCAGTATTGTCACACAGTTTGGAGATCTGTCGCAGAGCTCCTCCCGGTCTATCCTACCCGCGGTGACCAAACTGCCGCTGCGCGGGTTCAGGGCGAAAAGCTGCGTCCTACCTCTGGAGACGATGCGGACTCCGCGCTCCACCAGCTCCCGGGGCGCCAACCCCAGGTCCTTGGCGATGTTGCCCACCACTGAGCCTTCTTCCTGCTCCTCAAACACCGAGTAGCGGATCTGTTCGGCCCTAATTTCCCCCAGAACCCCCAGGAGAAGGCAGATTTGGAGCAGCCGGGTGCGGTCTGGGCTAGCAGGAGGCGCCGCCATTACAACCCCGCCGCGGAGTCGCCTGTGCTTTGGTTTTCCCTCTGTCGAAGCCTGAGGAGCCCCAGGATATTCTGGGTCCAAAATGAAGTGCATTCACAGCCGGAGCTCTCAGGGCTTCGGCTTGAAGCTTTCATAAAGCTCCAGAGCCAGTGCTTTGTGCTGCGGCAATCTTGTGATTCTGATTAAATTTCTGGTTTGTCTTTTCCCCCGATTGGTGAACAGCGACACCCAGAGTCTAAACCTGTTACTGCAATTTATTCTTGGTTAAAAAAAGTTTACTTTTTATACACGTTTCTATTCCTATTTCTGCCAAGATAATAAAAGTCAAATTCCTGTTTTTGATTTGCAACGAAAATTCAAGAATTATCCAAATCTTCCTGTACAATAAACTTTATAAAGTTATTTATTTTCTTAGAGAAAATATGACGATTTTTTTTTCTAAGAATGTGTTCTCCATCTTTTCAGTTTTCATCTTGTTCATCCCCACAGCTCATTCTCAGTACTGTGTACTGTGTGAGGGACATACTTATCTCTCCTAAAGAGAAAGGTGGACTTGAAAAATGGAGGAGACGATAAGTGAAAAGACAGTGGGACAGGAACTTGGAGGTTCGGCTTTAGTCCCAATTTATGCAGTAACAAGTTTCCTTACTTGAGTTGACCCTCTAGAACCTGGGGCAATGCTTCAATTCATTTGCAAAAAAACCCAGCTACTGTTCAAGAGTTAGCCTTACCCCTGTACGAATGAGAGTGACAAATACAATAATAGGTTTGGGAAGAGAATTTGCTCCTTAATTTTGTATACAATACATTCTTGGCCACAAGCTATGCATATGACTATCTTGTTTACAATGTGTTCTCAATCTTTAGAACAATACCTTTCATAGAGTAGTAACTTTTTTATGAAGCCTTTCAATGTTTCATGAATGACCGGTTCAAATGCAAAGCCTAAAACAATGGATAAATAACTCTGATCTTAAAAATAAAAAAGAAATGAAAAGTTAGACTGAAGAACTATAAAGTGCAGATAATAGTTTAGTAATTTTTTCACATGACACATTCAGTATTATTTTACTACAATTTCTAACTTTACTTTAGCTTTCACTTTAGAAATAGCCAGTAAAATGAAATGTTTTGGTAGCTGAACATGGATTATCATTGCACGTGCCATCGCTTTCTTGCTTATGAATACTTACAGTAATTTACTAATCTGAGAAAATTTGAGATAAAGCAGTACATCAGTTCTTAAGCTTATTCCTCACTTAACAAGTAGCAGTAGAAATGACTCATACAAAAGTGCATTAGCTATACAGAATTTTAAAACCTCAGACTTTGAGAGAGTAGATTAAAGGTGTTTTTCACAATCCTCAAAGACTGCACAAACTCCGGATGATTGAGAAGTGAAATAAGATGTTTGGAAATAAATTTGACAGTATACATTAAAAAAACTCAACATGTTTATAGATTTAACTAATTCCTCAGAAATCTATACTAAAGAAACAAGAAGTATGGAAAATGCTTTATAAACCCAAATGTTCATTACATTTCTTGTTTTAAAAGAGACAAAATAGAAAGAGCATAAAAATAAATCATTTAGGAATGGTTAAAAATTATGAAATATCATTGACTGAAATTATACAGTGGGAATAATATTGACCCAAAGTTAGTGATGCAAATGTAAAATTGGACAATATTTGCTACTTGTGATGAGATAAAGTGTTAAGAGTCTTAATAATTGGAAGGCTGTGTTAAATACACATGCTGCTGCAAAAAGACAAACTAGAATGTAATTGATGAAGATGAACATAAACTTTAACTTTGGTGGGAAGAACTCTAAATATATTTATAAAGAGCTAAGAATAAGATGACTTGAAAA